TATGTATGTATGTATGCACGTATGTATGTATGAATGTAGGTATGTGTGTGTGTACATGTATTTATGTGTACATGTCTGTATGAATGTATGCATATATGTTTGCACACGTATATTTATATAGACACATGGATGCAAGTACGTGAACATGTAATCAACTGCATCTATACACAGACATGCATGCACACACACACACACACGTGCGTGATTGCATACATCCCTACTCCCTTCCATATTCACATGCTCGCATACCTACATACTTACAGACATGCATGCATGCATGCACACACACATGCACACATACACACATACACACGTACACAGACAGATCGGGGGACTGCGCCGGGGGAGCCCAGGGCCACCTCTTCGACCACCCATGGGGGACAGGGGCCCCCTAGGTGCCCCCGGAGGACCCAAGGGGCCCCCAGGAGGCCTAAATTCTTCGACTCACGAGCCCCAGAGCCCCAGGATGGCCCAAGGGAGTCCCCAGGGGGCCAAAATCTTCCAAATTAAGGCCCCAGTATGGATCTGAAGTCACCCCGTGGCCTCCCAAGGACGCCTCCGAGGGCCCAACATCGTCGCAATCACAGTATGGTTTTCAATCTGTTCGGCTTTCTCGCCTTTTTGGTTCCAATGGGGTCTTCGGAGCCTCAAGCTGGATCCAAGATCACCCAGCAGAGCCCCAGGAGAGGCCCAACACGGGCCCGGGATGCGCCAAGAAGACCCCAGGATGGCCTCAGGACGGGCCGCAATTTTTCAAAAGGAGCCCGCGACGCCCCAGGAGAGCCCGAGTCGGCCTCCGTAGCCATTTTGGCTCAAGGGCTCAATCGCCCACCGATGACGATACATACTGCATGCGGCAACATCATGACTTTTCACGCTCGCTTCTTACTTCTGATCGTATATTGTGCAGGGCAGTGTCCAGCCGCCGTCGCAATTCGAATATCGCCCCAGGAGCAATCGCTGGAAAGCACGGCAATTGAGCCGAGAGCGAGCGTTGCAGTTTGTTTGTCTGGGCTTGCCCGTTCCTTCCAATACGAGAAAGTGAGAGGTCGGTACCCCATGTTTTTGAAGAAATTCCTTCGAGGGCAACCTTTTGAGACCTTCATGTTCCTTGGCATCAAGGACTCACCAAGAGGGCAGAGTGCTGGAATTCCAGGACATCCGGATACGCCAGCTCTGGATCTAAGCGATTGGGATTTCTGGAAAGAACGCGACCTGCACGTGAAAA